CAAACGCATGTTGTCAGATGAGGCAACCGATCCACATCAGGTATCCCTTGATGGTTCTAAGATTTTGGTAGGGCATTGTGGGACTTCCCAAAAGCCATGCGGTTTAGGGGTTTAGGGTTTAGGCGTAAAATATTGGTAGGGGTCCCCTTGTAAGACTTCCCATAATAAGGATTGTAAGGTGCTGGGGTCTATATTTGGGCCGGCTACTTGGAACTTGGCCAGATTCAATACGTATGGCGCCTCAAGCACAAGAGCTCTTGAAGGGAATGTTGAGTAGTCCGACGTTATTCGACGTTTAGGTGTGTAGGGTTTAGGGTTTAGTAACACCATGGGGCTTCTGGGGCTGTCCAGGGAGGGCTCAGAAAACCCTCATGAAGCCCTAAACCCTAGACCCTAATTCTGAATTTAGTAGAATCTTCCCGGGCTCCCTCTTTGCCCCCATTTAGGGTCAAGGGGTTTCGGGTTTACAGTTAAGGGGTTTATGGTCAGTATCCTGCAGTACCCCGCCCATCACTGTACCCAACCCCGTGCAGCCTAAGTGATCGAAATTAATGTTTGCACATAACTTTCCCGTTTCAGTATGTTCCAGGGTACGCAACAACAAGGTGGTTCAAACTGTTCAAGCCGCGTTTACACGGTTGGGAGTTTCTCACTGCAATCCCCAGAGAATCCTAAAGCGGGACCCCACAATCCCATTGTATTTGCCACATTTTGTGAGACTCCTAGTATCCCCTTCATATACCCTATAATACTGCCCTTTGTATAATCCCCTATATAACCCCCTTTAAGGAGTTGAGACTACAGCTCATGTATCACTTGAGTTCCAGGGGGCTTCTCTTTTTAGAAGCCCCCAGATCCATCAGCCTTTGCGACCGCCCGCTAATAGTGATATACTAGGACTATATATGTATAGAGGCCATAATATAATATCCAGTAGCTCTTGTAGGCACTACTAGTGGGTGGGGCCCAACGAAAGATACACTCCTGGTCACAAGTAATAACTTAGTCCTTCGAAGCGTGGAGGAAGAACAGCGTACTAAACCCTAAGCCCTAAACCCAAAAAGTGAATCCGTTTTTCATGACCAGAACAGTCTTGGAGCAGCATCCGCGCAACCCACAAATACATCCATAGGCCATCGGGTTCATCAGGGTTCTCTTGTTTTATTGAACTCCCGCATCTTTCTCAAAGCCAATGCCTTGTACGTTTCAAGCATGAACCCTGCGCCCTGAAATCCGAGAGCGTGAACTCTGGACCCTCAACATGCAGCGCGAGCGCTTTTCAACATAAACTGCGCACAATCCCTAACTTACTTAGCCAATGGAAGAACTTTAACCTTTTTTGACTTCCTTTTTGGGTCCCTATAAAAACGTTTAAACTTTTTTGGCCCTGGTTATTGGGGAAGAGAGCTAATGTAGACCAAAAATCCTCTCACCTTCCACACGTATCCCGAGGGTCGCTGAGGTCCCCTTTTTTGAGTTTCCTGACCCTAGTTTCTTAGGGCTGATAGCTTAAAAGGTGTAGTCTCCCTTTCCCAGTTGAGGGTTGAGGGTTTAGGGTTTAGGGTTGGGGACACAGGGGATTATGGGAGGGGCTTATTGTGGTCCCTATTGGGGATGATATGGGGCCCTATCCCCCAAATTCCAATGTTCTCGGGCCTGGCGGGGTTCCACACTGTACGTCCTCCACAAAGCATCAGACAGCCGTCCAGGACATGAGCCTGAACAACTGCTGCTGAGAGCAGGCATTCGCAATTTACAGTGTAGATGATTTTCCCATTATCCCCTGTAGAGCCCCTATATCATCAGAACATAAGCTACCGGCATGGCTTTTCCTTTTGGGCAGAGGGTTTCGGTGAGAGGTTTGGGGAAGCCGGCCAGGTGTAGAAATGTGGGCAAGATGAATGCTGCTCGCCAAGGCACAAAGCTCTGTCTCATGTGTGCCAGACCCCACATGGTTCTTGGTATGAATGTGCAACTGGTTGCTCTTATTGTTGCGACTCTGTTTCAGTTACTTTCTTGTTTTCGCCACAAGGGAAATTGTTCGCTGGGAGTGAATCAGTGTACGGGGGAGCCTAGTTTGCATGGGTCTTCTCCTTGCGAAAGCTCACGGAGGTCTATTTTTTGCGCATGTTTGTGTAGGTTTGGTTGGTTAAAGCCCGAAAGAGTACCAGCCCCAGCCGTTGGTTTCACGCAAGTTCTTGAGTAGCTTTGCCGGGTTTGAGCCTGAAAAGATAGTCAGCCCTCCAGCGCCTACATGCAAGCCAGTTGTTTTCGCGCAAGTTTGCGTAGGTTTGGTTGGTTTAGCCTGAGTCATAGCCAGCCCTTCGTTTTCCATACGCCAGCAGTTCGATTCGCGCAGCTCTGCATCGGCTTCGTTGGCTTGAGCCCGAAGGATAGTCGGCCCTTCAGTTTCCATACGCGAGCAGTTTGTTTCGTGCAAGTTTGCGTTTCGTGTGTCTCTTGGAACATGTACTGCGTAAGCGGAAAGCTGCGTGCAAGTTTGCGCGGTTTTCGCGTAGGGTTTGCACTAGCGAGAACGCTGGGCACACTTATGTTGTTCATCATTTTCGCCGTGGATACTTGAATGATTAAGCTGTGCGAGACGTCGTAACTGCTGCAAGTGCACATCAGCATCCATGTGCCGCTCGGCAACCAATCCAAAGCAGCTACGTTGACGAAAACATTTTGACCCATGACTGCTTGTTGCGATACATTCACCAGTTCCTGCTCACCGAAGTTAAAAGTCTTGAAGTAGTCCATACCAAGCCGCGTCAGGAGCTTTCACTTCCTTGTGCCGCAACGAGGCGATTTTGGGAGCTGGAGCTACCCTTGCTATCTCTGATGGACTATGTTGCCGTGATTGCAAGTAGGAGAACTTTCTGCAGCAACTTGAAATACAAGTTGGGGATGACGAGATGGGCGATTTGCAAGCTGAACATCTTGGAGAGAATAGAGAGGGATGATAGGTTGCAACAGTCGTGCAAAATGACTTCAACGAACACTGTTTCAATTTCATGTTCATTCTTTTTTCATTTGGTTCTCCATTATTATATAATCCAGCAGGCCCCTATGTGAGTAGGTACCACAGTGTTTCGAAGACAGGCTTTTTCAATTTGCCTCTACGCGCTGCTTCTCCCAATTGTACTGTAAAGGCCCATAATAATGGTGATAGTATTAACTTTCAAAACAGTAGTAGCTGTCACTGGCGCTGCCTGCTGCAAGATATGCCTGAATGGGCACTTGCCTCCCAAAACAGTCTGTACGCCGTGAAGCATTTCGGCCCAAGCGTCTCTTTGCGGTGCTGGGCATTCCACTACTTTTATTCAACGTAGCAATTTGCGTTGCCGCATCTGGGATGAGTTGCAGAGTATAGTTTTCTTCGCTTGGTTTCTTGTGCGCAGAGGGAGCTGCACTATGATTCTAAGTCGGAACGCCTGAACTGTAAACCTGAAGCCTGAGGGCATGCGGGTGACACTCACTGGCGCATTTTTTGTTGCCTTCCTTCCGCTCTCGTTGGCCTACAAGGTGTGAGTTTCATAAAACGATCCCGAACCCCCGGAATCCGCATATATCCTCGGGCTCCTAGGGGTGACCCGATTTTGAGACCTTTTAACCCTAAGCCCTAAGCCCGTCCAACAAAAGCTGAACCACCCCAGGTTGTCTCCAATGAAGCGAAGGTGGCGCCAAGCTTCTGCCAGCCACAGTCGAGCCTGAGTTTTGTTGAAGAAATGTTACATTCAACGTATACTTGAGCCCGTTATAGATTATGGATTTTGACTTTCCATGGCATCTGAGAGTTCTCAAAACGGTGGTCCTCTTTTATGCCCTCTTTATAATAATGCGACCCCTAAGATTCAGGGTACCCAAAAAAGGGGCCATGATTTTGACAAGCGATCATCACTGGGTACTGTCGCCAGTGATTTGTACACAAGGCCCCTCATATTACCCTTATTACAATTTGTCAATGGGTGGCATGACCACCACCCTTACTAAATCCCAAGGCCTGGGCAGAACCTTGAACCCCTAAACCCTAAAGCCTATAGTCCCCCTTAAGTAGATAGAATATGGCTTTGGGTATATACTAATAAGATCCCCATATACCCCATATTCTATCTACCGAAGGGGGAC